TAGAATAGGCTGTACTTGTACATTTTGACAAATAACAATGATTTGTCTATTTTACCCGAATTCCATACTGTGTGCGAAGTTTAGTTCTCAATGCTATTGGTGCTCCGGGGACAAAGCATGGTACAATACACGCCTCATCAGCCTGGCAGGCAAGGAAACTTTCAGCAATAACAGGACAGCAGAACGCCAATATACCTACAAAGTAAAGAATGTGTTAAACCCTGTGGAAGTTCTTTAAAATATTAGGCTTTAATATTATTTAAAAATAATATATAGTGGGTACAACTTAGTGGCTAAGATGATTGGATTCGAATAAGTTCTGGCTATTTATATTACTGTATTCTATCATTAAAGTTTGGTTTGCAATCGCAACACGTATTACCGAGAGCTTTCGTTGATGCTGATTTTGTCGGTCTAATTATATAAGGGAGCCGATTGTGTCGGGGACTGCTACGCAGTATACAACGATTGTACTGAAAACACTGTAAGAGAGGTGATGACAAAATTTTTTTTAAACATATTTTTGGAACATAAATCATTTTTGGCACACCGAATATTCCTTCCACTCTTCCAGACTTTTCATGCGCGGATATTTATATTATATATATTTTTATTTTAATTCTTTTTGGCACATGGCGAAGGATTACCAATAGCGTCTTCATCACTGTTCTAGTAGATAGGTGGCAATCCTTTCTTATGACAAACAAATGCACTCTATGTAAACTCAGTCTCATAACGAGATTCATAGAGTGAAGTTTTTTTTTGTCGTGGAAAAAAAATCCAAGAATCTGACAGGATTTGAACACAGTACCTTGGGGTTTTAAAGAGAGCATATTAACTCCACTCCATATATAGCCGTAGATACGCTATGTACGCCTAATTCCTAAATAACATTATATATATATATATATATATATATATGTATATATATATATATATATATAAAATAGATAAATAGTACAGTGCTAAAATATATAAGAACATGATGGTATAAAATCGTATCAAATAAGGTTCATCAACGAAACTTTCGTTGATGAACTATGTTTTCGTTGATGAGCCACGTTTGGTACGATTTTATACCATCATGTTCCTATATATTTGAGCACTGTATCAGTATCTATTGGATTTATACAGTATTTGTGTTTCCGGTGCCAAGCAGCAACTTGATTTATATCTAAAGGAAGAACCGTTGTTCGACAGCTCTGGTTCTAAATCTGGCTGTTTGAGTACGTTTAATACGGTGCTTTTTAGCTGTTGCTTATCAAATTTGTATTTCAATCGAGATCCAGCCATTGTTTATTATTTTGTATATAATTATATATATATATATATATATATAGGCTTATATAAAATATTAATCAGCAACTTATAAGCATTAAATTTTATATTTTGTACGCATGTTCGACTGCAAAAAAATGCTTTATACAACTAACTCACAAGGTGTTATCTCCTCCAGACAGCCGAATAGTCCTGTAGACCAGTCACGTGGTTGGCCTTGCTGAATGCAAATAATACATTCATTAACATTATTGTATTTTCAACAAAGTGTATTATGATGCTTTAACTGCATGTTCAAAAACCTATGTATTTCGTTAAAAAATTTTAGGCAAGAAATACTGTAATTACACATGTAAAAGCATTATTCATAAGGGTTTATATATATTTTTAACAACCACCAAGTACCACCACCACCACTACTGACATACAAGAACATAAAAAAGGACATGAGCAAATGCAATGCGAAATTCACTAAAACAATGATGAGAACACTTGATGTGGTGGTGGTGGTTGTGGTAGTGGTGGTGGTTTTTGTAGTGGCGTTGGCGGTGGCTTCAGTTGTGGTAGGCTTATTGGTAGTAGTTTGGTAGTGGTTTCGGTGGGGGTGGGGGTGGTGTTGGTGGGTGCCAAATAATACGCCTAACTACAGAAAAAAAACTAGTGGATATTTTCTTTAATATGTTTTATGTAAGATGATTTTAGTAATAAAAAAAAAATCATTTTAAATGCGGCAATAAGTATTAATAATATAAAATACAGTAGAACCCCTATTAAGGGACCAACAAGTGTTCCCTAAGGAACAATAACAAAAAAACGTGAAATTGTCACCTTATTAGAGAGGTTTTGGCACGTAGTCATACAA